GATATCATTTAATGTTTTTTTTTTGTTTGTTGATTTTTTTTTCTTTTTTACAAAATGAAAACCTGATAAGCTCAACATCTATTAACATTCAGCCCCCAGGAATCGACTCACTCTTGCTCTCATTAATGGTGTTTTTCAGGCATGTCCAGCTTGAACATCTGGAGACCGATCTTTGTTAACAATTACTGCAAGTAGCTACTGCTCTGTTAGATTTAACAAAGGGCATTTTTGAACGTAAATTTAATTTTGGACTTTGACTGGATAGAAGTTGAAAATAAACCATTCAACTCTGGCCACAGTTCAGTGCACTAACCTCAATGGCCTGTATTTATATTTATTCATATTCACAATAACTCTCTGACGGGCACTTTTGCCTCTGGTGAAGAAAAGCATCCCCACCTCACGATGAAACTTTTACACAAATAATCTGCTGTTTGATAAATGTTCACATTTTCATTTAAACAAAGGTGGGACGTTTGTTTCGCTGCTGACTTAGATCCAGACCCTGCTCTGAAGAAAGGCAGCAAACCAAAACCATGCTAAACAGATTCACTCGGCTGTCATATCTTCTGTGGCTCAGGAATTGGAGCAGGTGGAAGATGTATGGAGGGGAGAAGTCCAGGACCTGCTGTCTCAGATCACTCAGCTTCAGGCAGAGAACAAGAGGCTGCTGGTGAGCCTCTCGCTGAAAGAGTCCCCCGTCACAGAGGAGGACCTACAGAAACACGAAGGTGGGTGCATCTTTCTGATTGATTATTAGCCATGTTGTAATCACTGCAGAGAAAACGCAGTTCATTATGCTCATGCAAATACAAACATAACATGAGATATCAGCTCAAATTCTATATTGATTCTTCCCTACTGTTAATCACTCGGGCATAAAAACCCAATAAACTCAAAGGATGAACCAGTGTCGCATTGAACATTGAACCTGTTAAACTGTTCATGTGTTTAAGGTAGTTTTTTTCATGACTCGGCCTTTTAGTTGCCCTCAATTTGTCCCCTTTTCTGTCACAACACTGCACAATTTAGTGTTGCGGTAAGGTTAATAAAAAGTAAACTGAAAATTAGCAAACAAGCAAAAAAGTTAGAAAAAGACTTTTAAAAAATCTTCGCAAAGCTACATAAAAATACACGTTTGTAAGTTGACCTCAAAGTAGGTCAGTCGGGAGCTTGGAAAGGAGACTATTTTTGAAGCAGACCAAAATATATCTCTTGTGTGAGACTCTTGGTGCGTGCAGCTGTACTTACAGTCTGAGCTGCAGCCCTCACACAAACTCAAACACTCGCTAATGGATTTGTGCACTTAAATAAATTAGTTCTGCATGACTAGATTACCGTGCCCGCTGATGCATTAGTTTTCTTAATGGTGTATGAAATGATATCATTGTACAAGGAAATCTAAGCAAGCCTTAAATAGATCGGATATTAAAAAATGGAAATAAGCATTTTAGCATCTTATAATGTGTTTACTGCATGAAAATAGGCGTTTGGAGGTTTGTTTCTACTTGAACTTTACATGCTGTCTGTCTGATAACACATCTGTAAAAAAAAAAAAAAAAAGAGATTTTTCTGTGTGGATTAATTATTGTGGCTCTCATATCACTGACGACGTCTTCCTTATTAGCACAAACGTCTGAGAAAGAAAGCCAAGTGATACAGAAGCTAAAAGACCTGGCGGATAAACAGAGAGACGAAATCCGTGCGAAAGACCACGAGCTAACGCTAAGAAACGAAGATGTTGAAGCGGTCAGGATTTGATCTTCAGTCAAAACATGTCAACGCCATCTCTGACATGAACTAAAGTGGCTTTAACTCTCTCAAAAACAGCTCCAGCTGCAGCAGCATCGGCTCATCAGGATCAACCAGGACCTTCTACACAGGACCGGACTGATGGAGGCTCAGGGCAAGACGCTGATCCAGCAGAGAGCTGAGCTGGAGGCCTCTGCCCAGGCACAGCAGCAGGAGTATGCAGCGCTGCAGCTGGAGGTCAGGAGACTGACAAAGGAGCTCCAGGAGAAGGAACTAGAAAGAGAACTTGTAGAGATAGAATCCCCTCTGGGAACAAGATCTGGGAACTCTTCACCAACGTCGGCACCAATGACGGTAAGAAGTGTGTCGGGCTGCTTGTGATGCACTAAGATAAAATGACATGTAGCAGCTGTAAAGGAGGAGGAAAAATTTAAACGATTTTCTAAATCATTTCCTAATCAAAATATGACAAGTGTGGCATGTTTATGTGTAATCCCAGATTACCCTGGTACACTAAAATACATTCTTGTTGAGCCACCTTACTAGAAAATAGGGTCCAATTTCAATCTCAGTATAAATCCAGCCATTCTGTGAAGACCTTGGAGGTTTTTTAGAGGACATTAGTGAACAAACGTCATCAAGAGGACCAAGAAACACAGCAGACAGGTCGGGGAGAAAGTTGGAAAAAAGTTTAAGGCAGGGTTAGTTCAAAATTTTCTCCCTACCATGTGGAGGAAAGCTTGTACAGCACATTACCCTGGACACGTCCCAACAGTGAAACATGGTGGTGGCAGCATTATATCGTGGAGAAGCATTTTTTCAGCAGGGAAAAGAAAACAGATCAAAGCTGAGTGTGTGCTGAGTTGGCCCAGTCAAAGTCTAGATCTAAATGCAATTGAGAATCCGCAGCAACTTTTGAAAACTGCAGTTCAGACGTCACACTCTACATTCAGCTTGAGCTTTTGCACAAAGAAGAATGAACAAAATTTTCAGTCACTTGATGAGCAAGACTGGCTGAAGTAAAACACCACGAGACATGCAGTTTGCAGCAACAGGTGGTTCTACAAAAGACTGTTTTTTATTTAAAATCATGCATCATCTTCCTCCCACTCAGCTACTTTGTCACATAAAATATGATGAAAATACGTGATTGTTTGTGGTTAAAATGAGACCAAATGTGAAAACATCCACTGTGTTTTGCCAAGCTCTGTAAATGGCTGGTCTTTGTCCCGAATCCAGGCTGCAGAAACCATTCTTTCTGACTCTGTCAAACCGCGTTCTGTGTGGGTGGAGTGTGGAGGGGATCCTGGCTTCATGGCAAAGTGCCTCGAGTGTGACAAGAGCCTCTCACTTCTGTCAACAACAGCAAACAGAAAGAATGTGGGAGACCTTACTAAAGAAGAAAACACTGCAGCACATGTTCTGGTAAGAGCTTGTTTCAATAGACTGCATGCTGCTGATAGAAATGATTTCTACATCCCATTTATTGCTAATCAGCTGTCTCAAATTACCTTTTCCACCACTAGCTTTCAGCAACATAGGCCTTCTTTTGAGCATAGCAAATCATTTACCATCACCGTGACAACCAGGTTATCATTTTCCCTGCTTGGCTGCCCAGAGGCCCACTCAGCCACCGGCTTTGTTACTGCTGTTGATGCAAGAGAACAGCTGAATGTGTGTTTTTTTTTCTTTTTACTGTAGACTCAGTCAGCTCCTGCAGAGTCTGAGGATGAGGCAGACAAACCTCGTTTCACCTTGCAGGAGCTGCAGGATGTCCTGCAGGAGAAGAACGAACTCAAAGCCCAGGTGTTCATGCTCCAGGAAGAGTTGGCGTATTACAAGAGGTAGGATTTGATTTGAATTCTCTCACTCTGGCTTCTGTTAAAAAGGCATTGGCACTGGAATGTAATGAAACATCTATTTTGCTTCAGTGAGGACTTGGAAGACGACACCAGCCCTAGTGACTCTACCACAAATACCCCATCACAGCTGACTTCAGCCGATCAGCCTGAATCAGGAATAAGACGGCTGTAAGTAAAGAGATCAGTACTTCTTTTTTTTTTTCTTCCACCACCTGATTCAAGGTTTTTAATGCCCATTTTTGCTTTTAATATCAACAAAGGAATTTGCAATAATAGTAACGCAGCCATAAAAACTCACTGAAACTCTTTCAATGTATTTTTGTGTTTTCTTCTTCAACACTCCTCAACCTGTTGTCCATTTTCTATCTGGACAGGATCTTCACTGCCATAATGCCCATGGTGGCTGCCGGTTTAATCACAGACGATCCCACGTTGTTGCCAATAAGAAGACTTGTTTCCTTTGTATGACTTGTCTTTTAAAGGAAATGTTCATCTCGACACAAAGAGCTGATTTAACAGCAGAAATTATTCTAAGCTAATCCTATGTTGTGTTCATACTAGACATGGGCCGATTAGAGAATCTTGTATTATAGTAATAATCAAGCACAATCAGAAATGTCAAAGATATTGTGATTGCTTTTATGTTAAACAAAAAAGTAATAAGTTTTACTGCTGTTGTTTAAGCAATATAGCTGGCTGATTTGCAGTGCGCAGTAACATGTGCGAAAGGAGAGCATTACATTTTTTATGTTCCTTACAGCTGGAGAAAACTCAAGCACTTTTTATGCACTTTTTATGACATATTATTGAGGGATTTAATTCAGAAATGAGGAATGACAAAAAATGTTCCTACATTTGAAGCCATGAGTTTTTAAAATCTCTGGATGCCTTGATGTTGATAACCAACCCCTGCCTATTCATTTTATTTACATCAGTGTGAATTAACGGGCCTGTTTTTATATGTTTTACTTATGGCCAGACTGGCAAGAGCTTTAAATGAATCCAAATAGTCCAAATACAGGACAACTGAGGAGTTCTTTGAAAATAATGAGAATTTGTGAATAGTTTTTTGGGGTTTTTTTTTTTAGTTGTTTTTAGCTTTGCAGGGTTAGGGTCTGAATTATGCAAAAACTGTGCCTTTACAAGTTACTTGGACATTAAGGGAGATTTATGTTTTTAAAGTCATAGTGTGTATATTAATCTGTGTGAAAAGTGTTTTTACTCAGAGAAGCCACAGCCTTACTGCTTTATTATTAATAATTATGCAACAAATTTGCTGTGGATAGCATCATGTGTCTGCTGAGCAGTACATGTAAAATTGTGTTACTTGTGATTAAAGTAATAAAAGTTTATTTTTGCTATTTTGCATGTGTGTGTCTATTGAATATAAACATTGATTCTGAAAAGCACTACAGGATCATGGCGCCCTTGATGTTTTGTACATTTCAGAGACTAGCAGTGTTTAGTGTGGAGAAGCAATTTTCTGTTCTTGAAATTCCTGACTGGATCTTTTCACCCTGACAAATGGAGAAGGCAATAAAAGTTGTAAACATTTAATCACGTGATCTATCACTTGATCCTGACAGTTCTGGGTGTCACGAAGAACAGATGACCAGGACGAGCTTCCTAGTTTTCCTTTAAATCTACGACCTCCCTTTACGCTTTGATCGTCTCCAAGTGAGCTGTCCTAACCGTAGACGATCTTTGAGCTCACCTGTCGCTAGGATACTCTTTGCCCTCCTCTGCTGCCACGCCATTGGAGGATGAGTGATGGGAGAGGGGGGTTGGGGCGGGTGGAAGTACTGCTCCGCTGGAAGTTTGTTACCTTCGTTTAGAAAATTAAAGTCTAAAACAGAGAGCAATCGCTGTGTTTGGAACTTTTTAGGTAGTCTGTTGTTTCAAAAGTGACTTTATTCCGTAATCTTAAGGAGTCCAGCCGTGTCGCGATGGAGTTTGGTGAAGAATCGTCGCCTGCTCTGGCCTTCGAGAAAAACGCTTTTGAGCTCACCGTCGAAGATGTGTATGACATTTCCTACGTGATCGGCCGAGATTTGTTAAAAATAAGCAGCACCGGTGAAGAAGTGTCGGATTTACAGTTCAGGATAGTCCGAGTCCTGGAAATGTTTGAAACGCTGGTGAACAAGTACAATCTGTCAGTGGAGGAGCTGAAAATGGAGCGGGACAACCTGAAGGCAGAGCTGGACAGGATCATCAGGGAGGGCTCTTCCTCCTCCGGACAGACCGGGGTGAGCTTCATCCTCCGGCTCAAGCTCTTGTCAGGGGGAGACGTGGAGAGGTTTTAACAATGTCTTCCTTGTCCCAGCAGCAAACTGTGGGAGCTAATCAACTGGTGGTGGACCTGAATGACCCCAACAGACCGCGCTTCACCATGCAGGAGCTGAAGGAGGTTCTGCAGGAGAGGAACCAGCTGAAGGCTCAGCTCATGGTGGCCCAAGAGGAGCTTCAGCTGTATAAGAGGTCCCCACACAGCCTGTTTTATTAAAACCTGATTTATCCGTCAAGCTGCTGGCACCGTTTCACCACTAATGCACAATAATGTTAATCAGTTATTGTTTATTTGCATTAGAAGCACCAGAAAGAGTTTGTTTTGCATGTAATCCCACACAGAGCATCAACAACCAAGACAACAGTTTTGTAAAACAAACCCGCTGCAAAAACTGGGATGAGATTCTCATTGTTTGATTACCTTGAAAAGAAATGACTCTTTTTAAGTGCATTTACACAAAATGTACCTAAAAACGAGGAAATGTTTTAATTCAAGTAAAAAAAAAAAAGCTATAAATGATGCTCAAAATTGCTAATATTTATAAATGATGTATTATTACAGCTATTACACTGTAATGAAAGAGCTGCTCATTATACTGAAACAGTGTAATTTGTAGAATGTTGCAAAACATCTCATGCAATATTTGATAGACTTTCATATGTATATTGATATGCATGTATACATATATTTGACCATTTGTGTCAACTCTGTCTGTCCTCCACTATGGCAGCAGCTTTACAAACATAAAGACTTCAGCTCATGAGGCTGGGACATCCTGGAGATGGCAATTTAAAGAGAAACTTGTCTGAAAGAGTTATCTTAGGTCCAAATTTTACACGTGCTTATTATATATTTTCAAAGTACTTGCTGTACAGAGGAGCACTATCCCTTTTTCCTATTTAAAAAAACTTATATAATCTTATATAATAGTCAGTCAGACTATCTGCAAAGGAAGAGCTAGCAGTGAGCAACTTAACAGACATGCTTCTTAGCTCTCCAACTTTAATTTCTAATGTAGTTCTCACACTTATTTCTAAAATCAACACTTTTTTTTAGACTTATGACTAAGAATCATTCTTAACTTTTAGATGGAAAACTGCCAAGCTTGTAGTTGTAATTTCCAACACTTTTGCTATATAGAGGGTTCCTATCATTTTTACAGAAAAGTTTTGAACTTCATTTAGTGATTCTGGACAAGTATGCAAAAAGTAAATAGCAATTTAGGGAAAGAAAGGGATAGGGCTAGGGTTTGTCTAAATGTTGTCATTTTTGCAGGTTTTGCAATTAAAGTCTGACCATAATACAAATATCTGCTGTAACCTTTTTATTGAAATGAGAGAAAAAAGACTGAATTCTGCTGAATAGTGTGAAATGTTTCAAGTTCCTCAACTTTGAACACTATTTTTAATTCAAAATTGCTGTACCATCTTTCCAAGTGACCATAAACTTCTTCTGCAGTGGGATTCTACCTCAATCTGAACCCACCATGGTTGACGTGGATCTGAGTACGCCGCCAGCCACAGAGGATAGTTCATCCACAGTAAATGAGAAGACAACCATAGGAAAACTGTAAGTTACAAAATGTTTAGATCTAAATAATAAATTAACTAATATAAACTTATTTTGAATGTCAGAAAGTTTTACTATCACAGGTAAAATGCAAGGAATTCAAAGTTGTTGTTTTTTTTTCCTCAGTCACATGATGCTGAGGTGAAGATAACAGGCAGATTATCCTTACAGCCGTTCTCCTGTGCGCTAATGCTGTACTTGTGACCCAGTGAAGTCATGCTGATGCAGAGAATGTTTGTGCGTGAGGAGTGAGTGAGGCTGGAAAATGTGTCCATCTTCTAAACTATTGTCGGTAATTACAAGCTACTCTGACTTGGATTGGAGCGCCTGTCAGCCATTAACCCACCGTTCCAGTGACGGGACTGCTATACATTTCTCCTAATGTTCCATAGTTTTCCCAAATGAAAATCCTGGATTTCTCAGTTTCTAGGATCGCCTTTAGGGGCCTTTAATATAAATGTATGTCCTTCCTAGGCCTTACTGCAGGCTTTTCTACAAGACAATATCAGGATATATTAAATTGTGATATTTTTGATGAAAACTGCAATATCAGTTTTGATTAACCCACATCGCTTAGATACATTTTCTTTCTTTATCATTCACCACTCTGTATGAGCTTTAGCATCTCTAACATCGTAGATCCTGTGTGTGAGTATTAAGGGCAGATAGAGTCCATCCTACTTTCCAAATACAATTTAGATATTTGATAGGGTTTTCACAACATGTCACAAATATTTTGTCATCATAATATCAGTGTGTTCAATGTTTATATTGCAAAGGACTGATTGGAGGAAAGTCACTGTTGGCTAATATATCCCAAGTGTTATGAACTTACATTTTTCATGGCAATGTAACATTTAGCCAACTAGTCAGAGTCTCACAGCAGCGGATGCTCACACGCTGGACACAAACAGCTTTATCCAAAATACTAGAGGCCAAAAAGTGATGGCTACAGATGGGGAAAAAGAATATAAGCACATATCACACAGATAGTTGATTGATGAATGGATGGAAGGATGATGGATTGATGTAAGGATGGGAGGATTTATATTTTCTAAACAATCGTTTGGAGAAAAAAATTCTGGAAACAAAAATGTTTATCCTTTTTCAGACAAGAAGAAAAAACTTACTTTCCCTGACTGTACAGGAACCATGACTGGTCACGCATGATAAACTAAACTGACTCTGGACTCTTTCTGTTTTTAGGTTTTCGTTCAGGAGAAAATGAGAGGAGTCCTTCTGATGATCTCTCTGTCTTGGAGGCAAATGGGATTTATCTGCACAATTTCTAACCACTTTTGTAATTATTGTTGTATACACATGTCAGTCTAACAATATTTTGTATAATTTTTAACCTAATATGATTTTAAGTATTACAATACTGGAGAAGCTGAACTATAAATAAGTTTAGGTAACTGGAAAGTGTTAAGTTAGAGTCATTCCCTGTTCAAGCATTTTTAAAACTGTGCTCATTTAAGTTTTGTCTTAAATCATGAAGTAAACAAATGGATCAAATATGGTCCCATAAAGTCAATCGTATCAACAAAACAATGCAGATTACATTTTTTTATGCTGGATTTTTGGGGCTATTTGCTATTGAAGTGTTGTAAATGTTGCCGGTTATGAAGAAACTAGGAAAAAATACCACTCAGACATAATGTGTGATATGCAAAGTAGCAATAAAAACAGGGTTGCTGATTGTTGACAGCCTGTCATTTCTTTCTTTTACACAGGACACGATTTTCTGTTTTTACAAATAAAATCTGCAGAATGGGTCATGCTTTTGTACCATGATCTCTTTACTTTGATACTCCATAGTACTGTTAAAATACTATATATTCACCTGTGTACAATTCAATCAATCTCAGTATAAATGCAGCTGTTTAAACACCCCTGAGGTCTGTTGTTCATATCTAGGATTATGATATTCATATATCTGACAAAAGTAATTTCTTTTTTCATCTAACCAACAAGTTTGTTTCTGAAAAAAAAAAAAAAAAAAAAAAAAAAACAAGACATGCAGCTGTCAAAAGATAAAAGTTTATTCTAAAAAAAAAATGTTATTCACAATTTCATTTGAAAGAATGTAATGTAAAAAAATATGTTTACTTTTACCAATAATCAGTGAAAATAGTTTATCAGCTTGACAGCAAACTTCCAGTTGCTGAGCATCTTATTTCATGTTTCCACTGGTATCTTATTTCAAGTCTTTGAGGTTGGAAGGTCTCTTTGCCATCACCCTAATGCACCAACATGTTAGTTAAAACCAAATGTTTACACTGAAGCTAAATCTGCCAGGGGTATAAATATTTTTTTGACTTAACTGTACAGAACCTGAATATCTAAACAGCAAACATCATGAGAAACCACAGAGTAATGAAGAAAATAAAGACAGCAGAGAATTTGCACGACACCCTGAAGATCATCATAAATGATCTTTAGTTTTTTTTCCTCATATCAAACTCAGGCTGTATTTCACTGTAGCCAAAACAGCATTCAATTAATTTAGAAAAGAAACTAAAAGAATAAAAGCACATCTTGCAGGAAAACAAACAAACAAAAAAACACTTCAAGTATTGAAGCTCACAGCTTCACTTCAGGCATGTTTTCAAAGAGTGTCATTTTATGTAAAGCTCACTTTTATAAAGACTGAGAACGACTCGTGTTCAGCATAATAAAACTCTCAGTATTTAAGCCAGGGGTGTGCAGAGATGGACTCTTTGCTCCGATCCCCGTAGTCATAGAGCAGTTCCTCCTCTGCCTTGATGTCCCTGGAGGCCACAAAGATCAGATGAGGTGTCCCATCGATGGGGTGGAGCCTCGTCTGGCAGTTCCCACTTTTACTGTGGTTCAACAGCCGTCCACGACGGTTCGTTTCTTTGGTAGCATCTATGCTGTAAAGCAAAGAAAGCAAAACGTTTTAAGCTTCGATAGACTGCAAGTCTTCTAGTTTTATTGGTGTTACTTCAACCTACCAGTAGGTTTTAGCCTGATACTGGAAGTAATACATGTAACAGCCTGTTTTAGGGTCCTCAGAATACTGGGCCTCTCTCTTTTTGGCCTCAGCCAGGTCCAGCAGGTCGCCATGGTACTCGACAACAAAATCTCCCTTTTTGAAACTCTTCCCAGCAAAGACTCCTCTTCCTTTTCCTTCTATGTGTTTGACCTGATGACATTCAAATCTCTGGCATTTATTTGGTCTGGCGAAATGTTAAACCGTTGTAAGAATTGTAATAATGTTTCTGCCAAACGGACATCTGAATGTAGTATTTGGTGAAAAAAAATAAAAGGGCCACATTACCTCCAGTCCTTCTTCGATGCCGTTCTTTAACAGGTCATCAATGTGTCTGTGTTCTTCACTCTTGACAGTCAGATCAAAGTTTTACTCAAAACTACTAATTTCAAAGTGACAGTTTCTCACCATCACTTAATAAAAGCAACCCCCCCCGCCCCCACATACAAACCTTTATCTCCGTTTTAGTTTTCCTGTTACTTCTCCTGATGGGAAAATAATCTGTGACTTTTCTGTTTTGAAGAGCTTTGTTCTCCATCCTGGAGAGAAAGACATTGTGATTGCTCAGCCAGCTGTGAAAGTGCATCAGCATCTTGGCAAGTAATGCGGACACAATGAACTCACTTTTTTGCTCCAAGCTTGCGGCGGCTGGCTTTACTCCGAGGCGTGGCCGATGGCACTGCAGGGCTACCATCTGATTCTGCGCTGGGCTCTTTTTGCTTTGGTTTGCCAGAGATTTGCTTTTTTGTCTCACTTTGACACGGCCCGTCTGGTTTCTGCTCTTTGGAGCTACAGCTCTTAGATTTTGCTTCATCGTTTGTGACTGACGTGAGAAGGAAAGAAGGATCAGAGAAGCTGCTTTAGAGAACATTGTAAAAGTATTCATAGTTCTTTTGATGTTTCTTAGATTTGATCACATTAATCAAACTTTAATTTATTTTATTGTAACTTTACGAGACGAACGAATGCAAGTGGAATGAAAACTATATTTGGGTTAAAAGTTTTTTTTTTTGTGTGTCATGCATTTGTATGTACAGCCACCCTGAGTAAATACTTTGTAAAACACTTTTCAACCAATGATGACCGCAATTCTTTTGGGGATATTGCTGAATGGACTGAATACAAATACACACCAAACATTTCAAATTTTCATTTGTAAAATAAACTGGAAAACAAACAAAAAAAAAACATAAATGCACAATTTTGATGTAAAAATACTTTTGTTGTAAAAAGACAAAGAATGCAAAAAAAGGTCAAGAGTTAAAAATAAGTTTGTCTTTTTGAAAGTGGTAATATTTCTCATTTGTCTCTGGGAAACTCACCTTGCTTCAGCTTTGACAGACCAGGATCAGTGGCATCAGAATCATTCCCCTCCAGGATGAGCATGCTGGAGCTGTCGCTCAGCGGGGACCTGGGTTTACCTGTACTGCGCAGACTCTGGACAACTGGATGTGTTTTATCAACAAATTCCTATAAAAGTGAATTTTCTTGGCATTAATCAGAAAAAAACCCAACAAAAAACATAAAGACCTAATAGGGCAAAAGAAATGCAATATTATACTTTGAATGGCAGATAAAAAAAGCCTTCTAACTGGCTGGGTTAAAAGAAAGCTGCTAGAATTAAAGACTCTTCTGCAACCAAATTAAACGTTCTGATTTACAAAATGGGTGTATTTTATATAATTCCTATTGACAGAGTCCCATTCGAACATCCATCTTACAGTATTTGACACAAGTCATTTTTATTAAATGTCTCTGTACATCATTTCTGCCTTAAATGTATGTGCAAACACATTAAAAACTAACAGTCCCCATAAAACTCAACCCTTTATCTTAATTATGACCACCCTTTCTCAGTATATCAAAAACACATTTCTAAGCTCAATGGGGGGCCCTGTGTGATAGACCAAAATTTGCATTCAACTTACATTAATCCACAGATTAGAAAATAAACTGGTTGTTCAGATTTGGAAAAACAACTTTCTGTTTTGAAACAAGGTCTGGAAATGCAAAGAACACATTCGCNTCTTTTTAAGCCATTTCTCGAATCCTCTCAAAACATGCTAAATCTATTAAAGGCCTTTCTATCAACTTAGGACACCAGCAGTCTTCAGAAACATAAAGTTACCTGCCTGGAAAACAAAGTGAACCAGTGACATTGTGTTAGCCTGGTCTGGAGCAAGCTAGCTGCACAGGATAAGTTACCATAGTAACTTATGTGCTACTGTCTTTGTGAAATTGAATCGGGGATTTAATCAGAGTATAAACCCTGCTGATTTGTGTAAACGTAAGCTTTATATTGTTTATGCCAGGACGAGGCATACGAGTATTTGGACGGCTTTTTGAAGTTTAATTTGCTTGCTATACGAGTTGACAAACGGGGGTGTGTGTAAAGCATAACATGCAGGAAACATACCTTGTTAATTTGTGGCTTGTTTTCCTTTGTCTCCGCTTGTGAGGTAGTTGTTTGTTCAGCAGTCTCACCTGTTTTTTTGTCCGTTTTCAGTCCATTTTTCTTCCCTTTATAAACATAAGAATATCCAAAAATAGCTATTCAAGTTTAATTCTCGAAAAACTATATAGAACAGTCGTAAATTTTACCGTAAATTCTTAAAAATAAACTGCGTTAAATTTGGGTTTCTCGTTTTAGTAAATATTTTGCTATAACCTACACAGGGTAGTTTTTATAGCACTCTTATCCGCTTTCTAGAAAATTTCACAGCTGCATTGTACAAATATCAACTAATGATAAAGTTAACCTTTTGCCATCCTCAGTTCCTAGAATATCGTACAAAAATAATGTTGTCCTCCGTGTCGCCGAGTTCTTCTGAGTTTAACTTTAATGTCGAAGAAATGTCAAACCACAGCGCCGTAACGTTACACAGTCGGCATGGAGGATTTAAAAATCCGTTTGCGATTCCCATTGGGTAATTTCATCAAAGAGGCGGGGCGCGTGCTTCAGAGCAGCTTCCCCATTGGTTGCAACTTCTGCTACGTCTATTCTACAACATATAAACATCTGTATGTTTTTACAATTCACAAAGCTATATTGCATGTTACTGATATAAAAATGTTGTTTCAAAAAGGAATGAAAAGTCAAATAAACACATACAAAAAATATATATATAAAAATACTAAAAATAATTGTCTTTTTTCTTGCCCACAAATGTAAACAATCAAAACAATTCCCACAAAAGAAAAAAAAAAATCACACAATATAAACCAATGTTTATATTGGTTATAAACATTTTGTGGTGATAGAATGTTGATAATCTGAAATCTAAACATTTTTAATGGGATTTTTGGGGAATAGGGTTTTACTGACACCTAGTGGAAGTAGATGGGAGTAGTACTGATAGATAAAAAAATGTAATCATTAGATCAATAACTGAGAAACTAAGAGAATAAAAATAACAGGATTTGTAATAAATTTTTCAGAAAGAATAAACTGTTTATTTCAAGATTACAATGGACTAGGGGTCCACCGATTGGAGTTTTCTGGCTGATCGCAGATTACTGATCTTTAAAAAGCCTCATCTGGCCGATGTCGCTAAATATAGCAAGAACGTAGCTCAGGTGGCAACAGTGGGGTGACTATTGTTAACTGCAAACATGCAGACATGACCTGGTGGGCTAATCTATCAGTCAACCCTCTCTCATATCAGAGCAACAGATGACAGTGGTTGATTTTTAGACATTTGCTGAGGCAAATAAGATCAGTGGATAAGACAGACTTCACATACAAGTATCAGCTGATCACAGATCTCCTAAAATTAAGAAGCTCGAGGTCAATAAATCAGCTGGCCAATAAATCGGTGCACCCCTACAATGGACTATCCACACTAACATTTTAAGCGGTGTCATCTCCAGGTTTATTGTCTACGGCCAAGGATTCTTTAAACAGTCTTTTCTTCTCCAAATTCTCATTCACTCTCTTCCGTTTTTCTTGTTTCCTCAACACAGATTCTTTCTTCTTCACCACCAACTCACTGAGTTCACCCTTATATGCCACATCAAGTTTCTCCCTCATTATATCCCGGGCACGCTTTCGGTTTATATCCACAGATCTGGTCTGATGACACTACAGGAGGAGTTGAATGAGAGAGAAACAGAAGTTATAAAACACAATTCCCAACTCTAGTTCCAAGTATTAAAGTACATATGTTTTCCAGCAATATATTCTAGATATTTCACATATTGTTGTACTTTGTCATTAAAAACTAGAGAGGACTGACAAAAATAACCGTTTGCTTTAAAACTTTCAACATATTTTTCTTATGACTATAAGATAATTTGTGGATTTTTCTTAATTTTAGGAACCCAGAACAATCAGTTGATAAAATGGCAGTTCTTTTCCTGGCTCCCTCTACCCTCTTTTTTTTTTTAAATGATCCACTTGGAGACATGCCTGTTGTAGTATAATCTGACCAATCACCACTAGAAACTTCAGCTCTAAAACATAAAAACATATATCACTCCTCACACTTACCTTTCTGCCTTTTTAAAATAATAATAATAAAATAATAAAATAATAATAATAATAATAATAATAATAATAACGAGCTTCCTCACAATACAAGCCTAGCATTTTAAGGTGTAGGACCTGTTTGAAAGCTTAGATAAAATATATTGATTCTATAAATTATTACTTAATTTAACCTAATGCAAGTGGATTAATAAGAGATTTTAAGTAATATTAACTGTGCTAAATAAATATGATCCTAAGTTTCTTAGGCACTATAATCCGAGGCAAGGATACATTTACTTACTGTAAAATGGGAATTATAATAAATGCTAGTTTTTAGAGAGACGTTTTATGCGTACTCTCGTATATTAAAATATCAGTGAAAATCAGAAATCTATTATCCACTGTTTATCACAACAACTGTAGTGCGGATTTAATTGACAGATAAAGTAAACCCTGACAGAAAACATAACAGCTAAGCCTTAAAAATTGGACAAATAGCAGAGCTACCTTCACTACAATCCCGGTGGGGATGTGTTTGAGAACTACACAGTTGCTGGTTTTGTTAGTAGCTTGTCCTCCTGGCCCGGATCCCCTCACGAACTGCTCTTCCAGCTCTTCCTCCAACAGGACTGGGAGATCAGGCAGGTCCTTCTTACCAAAAGCCACAACCCATGAGGGTGCAGGCGGGGTCAGACTGAGCAGCGGAGAGAGACCAGAAGTACTTCTCCACATGAACCGCCTGGATGCTCCCAGCAAGCTGCTGGTGAACGGGAGAAGGGATGACATCGCATTGCAATTTACACAATCAGCAGTAAAACTAAAAGTTTCCAGTTTCCAGACCGAAGAGGGGGCAGCCTCAAAACCTCACTGTGAAGCTCAACCTTCCGCTTTGTTTACTTTAATAGGCGTCCAATCAGCAGGCTTGCTTTTTTTCTTCGTTTCGACAATGAAGGTTTTGCTGACTCAATAGCACCACCGTGTGCTGAACAGTGGAACAAATCAAAATTGCAACATTAAAAATTTAAATTAAACAACAAAAAAATTTAGTTCAGTTTATTTATATAGCACGGCACGAATATATATCAAATGTAGTTTATGTAGAAATATATATAAATATATTCAAAGTCAAGTCCACATTCTAATACATTTCTGTTTCTAAAACAATGCAGTATTTTGACTTTGGCCATTTTGTCCACATGGGAAGAGTTTAGAAACTGTCCTAGGAAAACCCAGATGCAGGACACTGGCCTTTGAGGACAAATTGGACACCCATGGCCATCGTGGAAGGCCAAAATCAAGTCCCTGGAATAGTGCAGAGGAACACATGTACCAAATAAGGTCCTGAGGTCCCACAGTCAAAATGGGAAACTCCATCAAGAGTGGCTGACAGTGACAGAGATAAGATCCTGCTAGATTTTGGGATCCAGATTATAAACCAGAGATTACTGTCCAACTGGACATTGTGGTAATAGAGAAAAGGTAAAAGATGGGATTAATGATAGGTATTGTGCTTCTACGGAATACAGACCTCAACAAAAGAGACAAGAAGCTTGAAAAAAAAAAAAAAAAAAAAAAAAAAGGGCTGAAAGAAGAATAAACTATGGTATTGAAAGACAGGGAAAGCCTCAGTGGTGGCAGTGGTCATTGGAGGACTTTGACCTGTGACCTCTATACTGGGAGAGTGGTTTCTGCAGATTCAAGTAACAACCTCTGACATCTCTGTCTTGAGGAAAGCGGTCCTTGGAACAACAAAGGTGCACCAAGCCTCTAGTGGAGGACATCTACAGTGTCTTTTACAACAAATTTAAACATATAAACATCTATATAATGGCTGTAGTTATATGTTATTTAAAAAGTGTGCTGTTTATGTCGTATCATGTAATTTCATTATAGATGAGACATGTAAAGGATGAAAAAAAAATCTAATAAATGTACATTGCTATTCAGAAAATACATCCTGGATAAAAATAGCTCTCATTTTTTTTCCACATGCACATTAATGGACTGTGATGTAATGCTTCCTGTTCCTCACTGACAGTAACTAAAATTAGTAAATCAGGAAACAGGTCATCGGGAAAAGACAATCTGTTGCTGATGACCTGTGACGACATCTGTCTAACATGTGGAAAGGAAACTTACATTTTCATCTAATCTCTCAATTCAAATTGAATAAAAAAAACCTTTATTATACCCAAAGGAAAATTAAGTGTCATTGTAGCTCATTCATTTAAAGTCTTCAAAGAGTTATTGTAGATAGTGATGGCTGTTGGCAGGAAAGATCTCCTGTAGCGATCTGTACTACAGTGAATCAGAAGAAGCCTCTGACTGAAGATTCTCTGTTTTCCCATGGCAGACTCATGAAGAGGATAGTCCGGGTTGTCCATAGTTTTCTTGATTTTATGAAGAATCCTTCTTTGCATCTCCAGAGATCCCACAGTCACCCTAGAACAAAACCAGAACAGAACCAGCCTTCTCTATCAGGCTGTGGAGCCTTTTTAGATCCCTGGCTCTGATGCTGCTGCCCCAACAGATACACTCATGTTCACAGTGGTGCTCATTGAATCTTTATGAAATTAATACATTTAGTTTTTAATGTGAAAATTTTCTTGTGGACTACCAGTAGAGATTGAGCTTTATAAATAATTGCATTATTGAGATAAATGCAATTATCTCAATCATGTAGAATATTAAGGTGTGCCCAAGGTGTGTGTAGTGGTGTATGTGTCATTTTCTTTTAAGGAAATTTCTTTAAAAACTTTTTTAAAGCCGAAGGTGGCTTCCAGTAAAGGAAACAATAAAACAATCTGAACAAGAAACGCTTGCAAACTTTCAGTTGGTTTGAACAGCTGTATATTCACCTGTCAGTGGAGCTGGGAAAGTGGATGGGATGACCTGAGGGTCAAGAGCCCTACTATGGTTATACAGAAATAGAGCCAGTGGAAAAGAGGTCAAAATGAAGAGACAAACCAACACAGGCTGGTTCAACATAAAGCATTTGATTCTCTGATATACTGCAGTTGCATCCTGGACAACTAACAGACACAGAAAGATTTCCTACCTAAAATATTGCCTTCTATTTCCTCTCTTCCACGATTTCCTTAGACTTAAGGTAAATCCACATTATATGCAGAACCATTACCGAGATACACATCTTGATAAAGGTTTAATGACATAATAAAACTCTGATTGTTCTCTTTGGAATTTCACTTTCTTCTGCAATTTCCACCGGAAAAATTCAGTTTACATCATTCTCATTTTCGCAATAAAATGTAATTTTTTTCTTCTTTTTTAATTGTTAAACTATATTAGTGAGATTACAAATGGGTTAACTCTTGATTTAGTTCAGTATTTGTTTGGATACAAAATTTCACAATGCAATGCGTTGGGCTTCATCACAAACGATGCTTTCAGGACTCACCACTGTGAACCGGGTATGTTGCTCTTGTGGCCTTCAGGACTGGTTGTTGATAGGTAGGAACAAGGCTGATCAAATGTAATTCATGCAACTGAATTTGTAGTACATAAATAAATTAGAGGTAGCCTTACCATTAGCTGAAAATGTATTTGGCTAGATTTTTTAAATTAAGGTTAATAAATAATTTATTACATTACTGGACTTTTGGTAATTTCAGAAAATACGTGTCAACTTTGTGGTCTGGTTTCGACCAAAATATTTTATTGCCACCAGGGGGAGCGCTACGCTCAGGGCTTTGCAGATCGTTAAGTATGCATTATCGAAAGGCAAACGCCGAAAATCCTTTCAAAATAAAAATAAAATAATTTTCTTTTGTCGTTTTTCCTTGTGTTCTATAGATAGGGTCCTTTAGCATTTGAATTAGCAAATTCAAAACGGGAACTTTAGTGAAAACTGAAGGGCGCTATGGGCCTTAAACGAATGCAACGTCACACTGGACTTTTAATTTGAAATAACTACCGGAAGTATGATGTTCTCCTTACCTGCGTTGTATTTCGTGTCGCTGAAGTCTAAACAGCGGTTCAGACTTGAGAAGACTGGCAAGTTGTGATGGTGAGAGCTCCTTGTCCGTCTTCTCGTCGCTCTTCCCGGTTCTGTGGACGGAAGGAGCAGCTAATGGCCTAAACGCAGCCCTGTCTGCGTTTTCCTTACCGCAGGACGAGCCCACTCACCAACTCACTGGATCGTAGCTCGAATACTCCAAGGACATTTTAACGTTTCTACAGCTTTTGGCCTTTTCTGTAGATTGAGGAAACCCAGCGTGTTGCTCTCCCGCGCAATGATGTGGACAGATTTTGTAAACATGGGCAGAACCTGCGGTTGGTTTCACGTAGCCCACCCCCGGGGCTGATGATGTGTCTACGCGTGTCATTTTTAAACGTCGTACCCGCATCCCTTCCCCTGCCGAGGGGACAGACACACAAACAGACCGACGAGCCAGTGAACGGAAATCAGTCACTGACTTTCGTTGCGCTCCGTTCGGCCATGGCATCGCTGAGATCGGAGGCTGCCTCATGCTGAAGGGACATCTATGTTACTGGAAGAAGGTGGTGGCCATAAAACCCAGAGGAGAGACTGATGAACTTTGAATCCCAGACTACTGCTGCTGCTGCTGGAGGAGTGTGTTGAAGGCAGAGGTGCGTCGGGTTCAGGTATGTTTTCAGCATTGCCAGCCATCAGTTTGCCTTTACCCTGCTGCCATGTTGCTAGGTAACTAAGAGACGGTGGGTTTACTTCAGTTCATCTTCTCGGGAATGTAACGCCACCTTCGATATATCTTATTTTCCTTACAAGCCGTGCATTCAACATGTGCTGTGCTCGCTCTGCAGCAGACGTGTTTAGACTAACTTTGCATGCAGAGCATTGTCCTGCACTCCTGTGACCCATAACCCCGTTGCAGCTCACAGGGGAGGTATGCACAGATGAGGAGGTGTTTTGGATGATACCCTGACTGTGACACGGGCAGATATTATCATGCATATGATTATATATGGGCTTTTCAGAAAAACTGCCCCCGGGGAGCAGATGCCTTACCCTCCTCCCCAGCAGAAATGGGCCATTTAATAGACTCAAGAAAACCACATTTTCAATTCTGCTTTTCGTGCAGCACCAACTTAAAACTATCCTCATGGGGCACTTTGCAAGACAAACCCGGGCCAGTTTACGTATAGCAATGGTTAAAAAAAAATCGAATCAAACTAGAAGCTGCACAATACATCAAATCAACATTGTGATCCCTTTTCAATGGTTGCAGTTGCACTGATTTTGATGCAATATTTGGTTGGCTGTAAAATGTCAGGTGGGGAAAATTCAAACTGCTTGCAAATAATATATTCATCCAGTTTGACGGACTGTCACTGTGTGTCGAGACTCTATCAAAATGTTAAAGCTGCAAGAGAGTGGGAGGACTATAGTAGGACATCAAAATGTAATGTTTTCCTAGAAATAAACCAATCATATAAACTGTTTCACATTAGGCCACATACAGTCCAATAAATATTAGCTCATTTTATAAAGGCACTGCTACTCTCAGTTTGACGTCTGTGTTTTCAGTGCAACCAGAGAAAACCGACATTAACACTGTAGATTTTAGTATTGATTTATTTATTCCAAATCATATAGTAGTCATTGCAACATTCAAGAACAACATAGCAAGTTGCGTGTTGTTGCGATGTTGTGCAGCCCCTTTCCCATGCATTTCTAATATTTTGTTCCCGAACAGTTTGACGTCATAAAAGTGGCTTAGCGGTGCATGTGCTGCATCTTTCCTCTACTGGGCACTACTGTCTAAGCTGCAGCAAAAATGGTTATGTTGGATGTATAATAAACATTGAGATGGACCATACAGAGGGGCTATTATTAGATCTGTGAATATTGATGCTGGTGGAAAAGGCCACAGACAGCCTTGAACCGACTCTGTGTCTTTTCATGGCTGCTATTGGAACGGTGTGCGGACGCACATGGTACCAGACTGATTGTATTCTTCAAGCTTTCATGCCACGATCTGTCCCTTTTGTGTGTGTCCATTTCTCAGAGAGCCTACACAGTGACACACAGGTGTGAGACTTTATGTAAGACCCTGCTCTGCTTTAAATAACAGCGTGCTTGACGAGTCACAAACCCGATGCCTGTCTCTGCAGCCTCTCGAGGAACAGAGGAACAGCAGCCAGTCGTGTTTATGTGCACCAAGAACCTGCATGCCAGCAATTTTTTGCATACCCGAGGCCTGGTTTTGTTCCAGTGCGAGTCTGTAATTCTCTGCAACAAGAGTCCCTCCGCTTGACTCAGCAGGGCCTGTGTGAGTCATTGAGGCAGCGGTGACTCGCAGGCTGTGGCGCCTGCTGTCCAGATGACCGCTGTTCCGCGAGGGCAGAAGCGGCTGCACCTTTTGTCGCTCCCGCTCTCACCTTCTGCTTTCCGCTCAACACCTCAGCAGGTCTTTCAACTTTGACTGGAAATTGTGAGTTTGTGGGTTTTTAATGCAAAAGCTACATTACGAAATTGAAACTGTTGCTTGAACCTAAGAGAACATGATGAAACATGCAGATAAAATGTGCCGAAGGCAGAAATTTGGGGCACACACGCCAAAACAAGCAGTTTTGTGGGCCGGTACGGCTGTAGGTGAACTAAGTTCTGCTTTGACGTGTTAAAACATGAGTCGTGGCTGCTGGAGGCTGTGATGTTTCTAAGATGTGTGCATACAGCATAAGTACCGCTGTTAACTCTTTATTTATATTTTGAGTTTTGTTCCCTTTGCTGATTATGCAAGAGCAACCAGCAAAAAAAAAAAAAAAAAATTCATCTCTTTTCTGAGCTCCATATCATTTCAGCACTTTTAACTCCTGCAATGAGATGCATTTTTAAAAAATATAACTTAAGATTCAGGAACAAGTTTGTGATCATGCTACTTGTTACAAGAAGAAACTTGCTGATTCTTAGATTTATTTGTGCGCACATGAGCTTAACTCTGTTGTTTTGACCTTTTAAGATACTGCTGAGGTTTCTCTGCTGCATACGCAACAATTCCTGTTTCGTACACCTAACCAGTTTTTTGAGGTCTGGACGTTCTTCCCTCCCCCCCCGGCAGAAACTTGCACAATGTACACTATGTCCTGAATGGGAAAAGACTTTGTTGCAGATGCAAATTTAAACACCTACCAGGTAGTTTTGAAACAGGAGGGAAATGTTTCTGCCTCGTTTGGCCACTATTTTCCAATCGGTTGCTAACTTAATATTTTTGTTGCGTAGAAATATTTAGTAGTTTGCAGAACTTTATATAAGGGAACCTGCAAAAGTTTGCTGTGCGTTTTTGCATTCAAACTCTCTAAAAACCCAGCACAACTATCAGCCTTCAGCAGTCATGTAGTTAGTGAACTACATGACCTAGATTCAAAACATCATATGTGGTGAAATAATGACATTCACCTCTCTATATTCTCACAGTAAAACATGGTAGTGGTAGCGTCATGGTATGGGCTGTTCTTCAGGAGGGACAGCAAAGCTGCTCCGAGGTGAGACCAGCTTAATTTCTGGATTCAAACCTTCCAGAGGCTGCAGAAGATTTGAGAGTAGAATGAAGAGTCATCTTCCAGCAGGACAAAATATTAAGCAAACAGCCAGAATGATAATAGTTTAGTTCAGTGTTTCCAGACGCTGGTCCTCAGGGCCCATATTTTAAACGTGCTATGCTTCAGTTGGTCTAAGTCAAATGACTGGATTATGTCATCAGCATCAAATGCTTTAGAAGCCTGTCAGCCAGGAAGAGAAACACCCAAAACATGCTCGGTATTCAACACCAGAATTGAGAAACTCTTTTTAGAGCAAAGGTTATTCGTTTGTTAGAACGACCTAGTCAAAGTACAGACATGAAAACTGGTTGAGACATACCCTTGAATACTTTGGGTGATTGTAGCAAAAAGGTGGTTCTACAAACCATTTAGCTCAAGTTATACAATTAACTGCCACACGTTTACTTTTTTTATTTATAAAATCATCTCTCATTTTCTTCCAGTTTCCTATACCAGTAAAACACATAAAAATTCATGGGTGAAACAAGACGGCAAAGTTCAAGGGGCACGAACACTTTTGCAAAGCGCTGTCAGCTAAATGTTTTCATAATTCCACCAGAATATTGTGAAGTCCTGCTGCATTGCTGACTGAAAAAATAAGTGCAGATGGGAATAAAAGACGGCCTCATGCAGGGGTCACTGATTTCACATTAGCCCTCACGGCTTTTATAAACACACATTAGGACTGGGCGCCATGTTCTCATTTTAGTTTTCAGCTCTCGTCTTCAAAGGAAGTTTTTCTTTTTTACAAACAAAAGATGCTTTCATGATATTTTAATGTTAAGTTAAGGAACGGAACTGACGGCACACTGTTTTTCCATTCTGCTCTTTTTATAAGCAAATTAAATGTTGAAGAGTTACATTTGAAACAATTCGTCCAGAAAAGCAGGTTCTCGTTGATCACATACTAAACATTAATTCACCACATATTGTTTTTTTTCTGGCTTTAAAAGATTTTTAGATTCAGGTTTGGTTTACTTAAAATGAACGTGGGAGTTGAATTGTTAATTAATTAATTTTGTTCCTTTGGTCTTTTAAGGATTTCTGGACACGGATTTGAATGTATATTTCTGGCTTTACTTTTGTAAAAGAAAAAAAAAAAATTAAGTAAATGTTTAATTTTAACATCAAACAAATAAACTGTGCCAGTAAAAGATGGAGCGCAGTGCTGCTGTGAACCTGGTTACTGGATGTTGTGATGCTCCACAGCGTGCTTCCTGGTGAACGGGGAGCTATAATTTCTAATTGTGCAAATCCTCTGCTAATGTTTGCTCTTCTGAGTTGCACTGATCTCCTTCCAGAGGCTAAAATTGCTCTCCACTCCAGCAATGCTTTATACAGTTACAGCCTGACAAGCTGCTGACGGTCATGAGGAAAACACTGTAAATAAATGCTGTACGTCTTGCGTGTTGTGACGGCGGAGTGGAAAATTCCTGACAGAGGAGCCCGCAGCTCGAGAGCATGTCTCCCGGCCTCGTTTGAGTATTCATAGCAGCGCGCATGTGACGGATCTGTTTTCCTGCAGGAACCCTCACTTTAACATATCAGACACCACCCCAATAGCGTAAATGTGTAATTCTGTAGCCAAGAAGAACTCAGGACACAAGTGAGTGCGGAGCCTTTGAGTGACGGCTCGTCAGAGGAGAGAGTCGAGACTCGCTTCCTGCCGGTAAAAAGTTTGGGTGACGTATGCAGCTGCTTCCATATATGAGCTCAGAACGGGGGCTTTCTGCACTGTTTATCAGCTCAGATCTGCTGCACAGGAAGAGCAAAAGGAGCACCAGGTGGAAACTGTAAATCTGCCTTTAGTCTGTTATGGAAAATGTTTAAAAGGTTGCCGTTTGTTGCAGCATTGAAAAGTCTTTGCTCCCTACATGGCTTTAACTTTGGTCTGTTTTTAAAAGACTATGAAATGCTTCAAGCATCCCACCCACCAGGTAACACAATTACTTCCCCTCCGACCCAGGATAAGCTGTAATCTCGAAGACTGGCAGGCGAGACGCAGCAGGTAGAGGCTGAGATGAAGCAGCTGCTCGACTGTTAAAAACTACTGCTTACTTTGATATTCTGGTCTGCTAGAGTCTACAGATGAAGCAGACAGACTATAATCTCATATGTCTGTGCGGTGAAGTATCCGTGTGGTTTTTATTGGCTGGATTAGCGTGGCTGCTTTACTTGAAATTTTCAAAAATTGCTTAAAATTGTGTGATCTATGAAAAGATGCTGAGAGTATTCAGAGAGTATTCATTTAAGCCATCACAGGGTTGCATCTGTTTCCTTACATTAAACAGTCTCATTACGTTGGTTGTGTTTGACAGACAAAACCCTGTTTACGAAATTTGTCAGATATTTTTTTTCCCCTCTTTTTGGGAAGTGTTAATCTGTGCAGTCATCTACAAGGATCTGCCTACAGGGAAGCGTTTTGAAATATTCAATGGGCTTTATTCATTGGTTGTCAGGGGTTTCAGCTGGTTAATTTGTTAACTTGGTAACAGTACTGTTAGTACTGTATTTAGTACTGACTAAATAGAGAGCCGTGGTCAGCAACCTTTATAGTACATTTTGCTTTTAATAAAATGTCTAGAGCCTGTAAAGCTGCAAAATGCTCAAATTAAAAATAGCTTTTTAAGTTTTAGAAATATGCACGTATGAAAACTTGTTTTATGGTAAAAAAAAAAAAAAAAAAAAAAAAAACACAAAACTTTATTTTATATGTTTTGGTTTGAGCAGCTTTGCGAGGAGGAATGGAGCAAAAAAACCCCTGAGTCTCTAGATGTGCATAGCTGAGAAATGGCCTAAACGACTAGCAGCTGTAGCTGAAGTGAAAAGTTGCTCTTTAAAATATTCAATAAAAGTGAAAGCCAGATTTTTTTTTTGTAGAAACAAACAAAAAAGGTAAACTTGTATACCTTTCCTTCTACTTCACAATTGTGCCCTACTTTTTTTTTTCATTAAATCCCAGTAAAATACGTTGTTTTCTTTGAAAGTATTCAGGCAGCACCAGTACTTTGCAAAGCACTGTTTCTCTACATTTTCTTCTGCAGGTTTAAAAACGATAAAGTCACGAGTATTGATATTAAAATGATTGTTTACATATAAATTTCCCTTCCTGCTGTTTGGATCTTCAGCTCTGCGCTGAAACCTTGTGACGATCAGCCCAACATCCCCTTCTGAATTGGATAATGATGATTGATAGATGAAGAACATCACATCCTGTTTATTCGATTACCGCCTTGCACACACACACACACACACACACACACACACACACACACGCACACACACACACACACACACACACACACACACACACACACACACACAGGCCATTTCAACAATTTGCAGAGCTGCTGTGATTTTAAGCTTTGCACAGACAAAACTCTGTCACTGTTCACAAATGTATATTTTTGCTGTATCTGAATGTAGTTATTTTTGACTGTCGGGCATCTTGACAGAACCCGAGTTGTGCCTCCATCTTGTACCTGGGCGTCAGCCAGGCGCCGAGCAGAGCGTTGTGTTCTCTCTGCGCCTTTAGTCCCCAAAAAACCTCATCTCTCTCCCCCCCACAACCCGCCCTCCCACCTCGACTCCCTCGAACAGGTGATGCTAGGTTGGCCTGAGCTGTTGACAGGGACGAAAGGGGTACAGCCTGTCCACGCGCATCCCTGATGAGCCTGCTGATGAATAGCACGTCATTGCTAATGGTCCTACCGCAGCGTTGTCTGGGAAATAAAACAAACGCTTTGTGCGGGTTTCTTCCCCGGCCCCCCCCCCCCACCCCCCTCGTTTTTCATGGACGCCACCGTTTCTGGCAGTGTGGGTGGGTGGACTCCAAGAAGAGCTGGGGTCTTTTTATAGCAGCCGTCCACCCTCGCTGTGTCCTTACCGGAGTTTCATTTTATAAAAGAGCAATCAAGTCAATTGAATTTGTGCTGTCAGGGTAGGAGGACATTTATGCGCTGGTGATGTTCACCAGGCTTGTGGATGAAGCAAAATGGAGGAAGTCTGACACACACGCACACACACACACACACACACACACACACACACACACACACACACACACACACACACACACACACACACACACACTCCCACTCCACAAGAAAACTTCTTTTCTCTTAAGCAGGAAGGTCTGCTTCTGTGAGGCGAAGTCGATGTAATAGAAGCTAATCTAATCTGCAAGGGGCATTGTCTGCTGAGAGAAATGCTGTTTGTTCAACTCATTTGCTGTGGAAAGTCACTGACCATCAGAGGCCTGTTTTTTCCTATGTGGCTGCGTTCTCATTTCCACTGTTTTCTGCAGTATGGAACATGCTTCGTGCTGTTCTTTCGTGTTTTGTTCTCCCCGTGTTTCTCTTTAAGCTCTTGCAGCACTCTGAGTCATGGATCATGTAAAATAAAAACGACAACACAGTTTCATGTCGTTTTTTTTTTTTTTTTTTTTTACAGGCCACAGACACCTGATTTCTCTAAGTCTAAAAATAGAGTAGATCCTGACTCCCCCTCCTCTCTTCCCATCATTTCTTTCCCTTTTTTTTTTGATCCAGCAAAAAATATCTGCAGGTTTTTCTATACTGTGACTGACTGGTCTATAATTATACACTCAACCCTACAAATATACACAGCTGACTAATATTAGGTTAAATGACCGCTGGCGAGTTGCAACCTCACATTACAATTTTTTGTAGCCACCATATTGATTTAAGGAATCAAATTTTATTATACTAACAAATTGATTAATTTGTTAACATGCCCCTCTGTTTGTCTTATCTGACCATAAAACTCGTTTCCACATTGAACTATTTGATCGTAATGACTAGAAGATTGAGAACGCTTAACCAACTATACAGCACGGTGGTTGGAGCAACATGCTGAGGGTATGCCACATGTCTTCTCCCTCTCTCACAACCCTCTTTCCTGTCAAACTACTTTCAAATAAAGGCCACTAGAGCCAACAAAACCTTTTTTTAAAAAGCCACGCCTGTTTCAGGAGAAAAACTAATTTGAATGAGCTGTGCTATTTCTGCCAGGAAGAAAGGTCAAACATCCAAGACAGAGGCTTTTTTGACTGCAACAAAATGTGTGGAACTTGCTGGGAGGTATTTATTCAAATGTTAGTGGGGTTGTATGTATTTAAGCATGTAAAATGCTGCATGTTCTTTTCATTCAAATGTAGTTCTGCGTTCCACTGGGTGAGAATTTATTTATTCTGTGAATTTCTATTGGGGGGAAGACGTTGGCAAACATTTTTTTTCTAGGTCTAAATGTTTCTGGTTTTTAATATATACGGAACTGAGGAAAAAAAAAAATCCCAGAGTTATCACGATGCTTGAAAGCTGACCTCAGAACCCACTGAAATGTTAGCTACAGCCATTTAGCCAGGCCCGTATTTGAAATTGGCCTTTTATGGTCAGCTTAAGGGACAGCTCCACTCTTTGGGCAGCAGGCAGCTTGCTTTTTGGGAAGGCTGTGCAAAAAGGGTTTAAGGTATTCCGACAAAGGGCAACAGATCAGCTTTTCAGAACAAGCTTTGCTATCATTGATTGTCTTTTACCCGAGTTTCAAAGTGTCCTCTGCATGATCAGCTCTGCTCAGTGATCTGATGATTCAGTAATTTGGTTTGTTTTAGAGTCTGATGTTGCATAATGGGAAAGTAGAAGGTGAACCAGCTGCAGCTTTTTTGTGTTCAGTTCAAAGCCAAACCTCCTTTGTATAAATCAAAGCTTTTTGCAGCTGGATGACCAGCAGATTAGTTCTAAACCGCTGTGCATGTAAGGAATAGATTTTTTTTCCTCCCAATTATGAATCTAATATATACCCACCATAGCGTTGTTTTGTCTTATTTGCTTTATGTTTTTCAGATCTTTTGCCCACACTTTTCAGTAAAGTTTTCAGGTCCACTTTCATCTCAGCCGCTCACCAAATTTATCTACAACTGATTTCTGGATAGTACAGATAAGAGAGAAACTTTGTGAACATAAATATTTTGCAGTTTTGAAACCAACTTTTTAAAACCAAGATCCACCTTTGATGCTTGTAACCACCCTTGTGCTTAGTTGGTAAGAAACTAAGTTAATGCAAAACAGCATGAAGTGCACCTGGTTCATAAATGTACAACAAGGCATTTGCTAGACGTCGCTATTAACCAAATTATGGTTGCAGAAGTAAAAGCAGTGCTTTGAAATTAACATCTCAAGTTTGCAAAACCCAAATGCATATAGTCGGCTCTTTTGTTTGCCTAATTATATCTGTTTTAAATGCGTGTATTAATAATTCAGCAGACTATATCATTTCTCGTGGCAGAAAGCAGAGTGCAGTGCAGTGAGCCGTGAGGGAGAGGAACAGAAAACCAACAAAAGTGAAAGTGTAGACAGGAGAAACGGGAGAAAGAAGTATCGGCCCTGGCAGCGTCTCGTCTCTACTTTCTCTGTCACTCACTTTCTTGTCCTGGCAGCCAATAAAGAAAGTGCCCACTGTGTCTCCATGGTAACCCCAACCCAATTGAAGCAATGATGAAGAGGATAAAACAACAGGAAACAGAATACAATATGGCCGTGGGAAAAAAATAATGTCTTTACAAGTTTTATTAGGTGTAACCCTCAGTTGAAAAATTAAAATTTGATTTGAGAGAGAGCTCGGTGATTTATGGCTATATATATATCTTGTCAGACACATTTATTGGCACCACTGGTAGAATTGTGCAAGACGCCTTAAAATCAGTTTTCCACATTGTAGTGTAATTATTACTTTTTTGTTGCAGTATCGCTTTTTTTTCTTCGTTATTTTAGAAAAACGCATTCTTTGATTTGAGAAATAAGTAAAAAAAATAATTGTTTTTTTAATCAAAATCACCAAGAGCACAATTATTGATACCCCTATTGATTGTCGATTTTTAACTATTCCTTTGAAAGAGCAGCTTTCCAACATTTCAAAGACTGAAATAGTACCTGAACGACTGAAAATCCTGAATGAGTTAAATAGGGAATCAAACCAATGACAAGGATCCAACCACAGAATCAGGAATGAAGTTTCACATGTTTCACTAAGACTTGGCTGAGGGATGGTATCTCTGATCCCAACATTTCTCCGTCTTTCCTTCCAACAGATCAATTTTTCAACACCGGATGTGTAATCCAGAGCATGCTGTTTATGTAGTCTGGACATTCAACTGGAAGTTTTTTTTGTCCATATTATTAAAGAAGAGAGTTCACAAGTGTTATATTAGCTCAATTAGCTGTTGCCAACTCTGCCTGTGTTGTCACCAGGTCAGTGGTTGCTTAGCTACAGACACAAGACCTTATTGCATTTGTGGGATTATGTGAAGATTTTAACCATGCCTCAGTCTCGGCTACGCTTCTACTGTTTCAACAGTTTGTCAGCTGCTCTGCCAGCGAAAACGATGTTGGATTTGTTTTATGCAAATGTCAGGAATACATACACTTGTGTTGCAAGACCTCCTCTTGGCTAATTAGATTTTGTTTTCTGTGCTCATACCATATAAACTCCTCGTTCAGAGGCAATTTGTAATGAAAATAATTGTGAGAAGACAAACTTAGGAAGTTAAAGAAGCTTTGCAGGGTTGTTTGGAGGCTTTAGACTGGGATGCATTCTGCCAAACGCGTCATGTGGACAACACCTTCCCCACCAGAGCGGAGACATGCTTCATCAGTGACCAACTCTGGGTCACCAGTAACCTGAAAGAACGGCCGAATAAGAAAAAAGGCTTGCAGGCGGTAGCTGGAGTTCAAGCATCAGCAGAACGATTTAAGATGTGTGAGTCGGTGATAATGAAGATACCACAGGCTTCTAGCTAAATGAGGATCAGATAAACTGAAGTCTGGATAGAGCCAATGAAGTAACATTCTTCAACAGGTTCATTTCAGGAAGAAACTTAGCACTCTCTTCTTCTGCCCCTGCCAAAGAGACTTCTCACTCACACTTGACCCACAACTTTCCTGTCACACCTCATATGTTATCTTCCATCTCTGGCATGTATCCTGCTGCTACATCATCATTGTTTTACCAAATCAGGATATGCTGGTGCTCCTTTCGACTTCCCCTCCTGCCCGTCAGTTTCTAGAAGTCACGAGAAGAGGCAACTGGAGAGACTGAGCCAGAACAAGACGGCGAGACAAGATGGTGTCAAGCCCAGAGTCCTGAAGGCCTGCGTGGAGCAGTTTTGTGTGATTCTGCACCAGATGGTTCAGATCTTCTCTAAGTCTGTTTTGGAGAGTGCAGTCTCCTCATGCCATCATCTGTTGGGGTAGCAGCCTCAGAGTCGGTGACTTAAAAAGCTCAACAAGCTGATA